CTGCTTGTAAAAGAAGATTTTCTGGACATAATGCAGTAAACCAACCATAAGATGACTCTGAAAGTTGGAGAGAAGAAGGCAGACAAGCTAGATTGCACCAATGTCAGTATTCTGGTTGTGATATTGTACTGTAGATTTTTAAGGTCTTACCATTGGGAGAAAGCGCGTAAGGGATTTATAGAATCTCTGTGAAGTTACAATTTCATGTGAATCTACATTTATCTCTAACAAATCGTTTCTTAGGGGTTATGCAGTGGTTGCATTTTCAGAATCCCTCACTGGCCACATTGCTGTAAACAAAAGTCTTAAGTTTGTTTCCTATAATGATTTTTCCCCCATTTGTGTTCTGAACATACAAATACAGAAATATTTTGGAACTACCAAAATGCACTCATTTTTTTTTTTTGGTTTGTTTTGTTAATTCTAGAAAAGTTCATACATTCTTTTGTGACCTTGTGAATCATGCAAAGTAAATATAATTGAGTATCTTTTAAGTCATAGGAGAACAATAAACATCTCACCTTTATTTTTACAGGATAGACAATAAAACGTTTTTTAAAAAATCTAGTATCGATTTATTTGGTACTTGTGCTGTATGAACAATTTATTAACTAGTAAAATTATGCAAGAATAATGACTAGGCCATTCTAGAAAATTCAAATCTCAATTTTTGAGAATATGGGATCAGCAGTAAATATTACATTATATAAGATGGAGCTACAGGAATTATCAGATTAAACTGGAACTCAGTAAAGTCTCCAGGGTCTGTCCTTTGCCTCATTCATTGAATCATACTTATTCCAAATAACCCTTGGGCAATTGCAAAAATGTAATTGACTCACAGTTTTGAGAAGCTCAGCTTCTATCTGTGATTTACATTAATCAATAGATACACTATTTACAAGAAAAGCCTATAATGAAAATCACAATGGAATAGAATCATACACAAACAAATATGTACTCTCTCCTTTGATAATGAAAGACCTTTATATGTACTATATAAAGACATCTATACAATTGAAGTTATTTTTCAAGAACTATTATCATCTCAGTGTTGACTTGGTTAGCTTAGAAGCTGAGGAGATCTCAAGAGTATTTTGCTTGAAGCAATACTTCCTTAAGCCTTGATTCATCACATTTCTCTCAATAGCTCAAGAAGAGTTTTGTGACTGATTGTTTTATTTGATTCATTCAAAATACACCAAAAGCTAAAATTAAGCTTGACATGAAAAGGGCTAGGAATTAGAAACACAATGTTTTAACCTTGTTCCTCGATGAAACCTTGTTTTCCTCCTAAAGGTTTTAAACTTATATATAAAATAAATTTTTTCAGGCTCTTATAGTCTTCACAGTCCCATATCCACTACACTCG